GCACTGGTTGTTCATTTTGGACAGTATATCTACTGTTTTATTTAAAAACAGGCTAAATTTTGCAAAATCTTTTGCTTGAACAATGTGCTTGTGCTTAGGAGTGTGCGATACTGAAAAAACATAATATCTCGAGATTTTATCGATAACGATAATTAGACGATATTTTGCTATGTGTGTTATTGTGCTCCTAAAGTTTTCGATATTCTTCATATTCTGTGTTGTAGTCAGTTCACACTGATAGAAATGAATCTTTTCCAATAAGTTTAAATTGATGGGCATTTTACCTTTATAAAGCATGCATTATCTTTTGAATCAAATTCATGCATTTAATCAGTCAATTCGAATAATAAGACATTTGGGGTGTTTCTAAGCAAATGAAATCAGTTTCAACAAAATTCATCTTTGCAATGCAGAGGAAACAGAAGCTGCATCTGAAGAGCCATTTAGATGTATTTACACAATGTTTAGTGCAGGACATGAATGCATTTAATCTGCAATTACAAATGCACGAATAATGTTTTGATATATTAAACATAAACCGTTGAATATTTATTTTTGAAATTATTTAAATAAAAAGATACTTTAAAATGTCAAACTAAACCGGCCAGTAGGTGGCAGCAAGTCACTCTTAATAAGTGAGTCATTGCGATTGAACCGAATCATTTAAATGGTTGATTCATTCAGGAACAAAACACCGTCATGTTGCTCAGAGACACAAAACAGTGCTGTGGCTGTGTTTGGATTTTTATTTATTTATTTTTTCAAAATCGCGCAAAAACAGGAAATATGGTATCAAAAAAGGTAAGTCTCTTAATCAACTTCTTGTTTACGGAACTGTTGTAAAAAAAAACTATATTCCACTCATAAGCATGGTAATTTTGGAGAAAAACGGCACTCTTCATGTGAAATTGATTAACTATATGAAGTGGTATAAATAAATACATTTTCTGCCCCCATGTCTTGATTTGTGATCATTCTAAATGACTGAATCATGTATTGAAAGAACGGAATCTAAATGCGCACTCGCACTAGTCCAGACTTCACGTAATGCGTGCGCTCTGTAGGGGTGTTTTGAATGTTTTTTACAAAATACTTGATAATGTCAAATCGCAAATCGTTATAACAACAATTACGATATTATCGCAGACGATATATATCGCACACCCCTACTTGTGCTATCATAATGTTTGAGATTTTGTAATATAATGCAATGACATTCATGTTTTCCATCTATGTAGACCAGTACAGTGTAACACAAACGCACTTACAGTTATATCCATCATGATGTCTTCCTCTAAAACTGTATGGATTCTGTCTCTGTATTTGAGAGAATTATAACAATATGTAAGCAAGAAAAATAGCAGTTGTGCTGCTTAATATTTTAGAGTAAACTGTGATACAATCTTTTTCAGGATTCAATGATGAATAGAGATTTAAAACAACACTTACTTGAATTAGAAATCTTTAGAAACATTATAAATGCCTTTATTGTCACTTTTGATCAATTTAATGCATCCTTGCAGAATAAAATAATTAATTTCTTCATTTTACGCCAAACCTTTGAACAGCAGTGTATGAGAGTGTTGTACCTGTACAGCGAAGTGATGAGTCTCCAGGTCACCATCTCTTGCTGCAGCAACCAGGTAATGCTGACTGTCTTGGAGGATTTCTGCTGACCAGGGGCCGATCGAAGAACCATTTTCTGCAACATACTAACCTACAATACAGGTCAGCACATTACGAGTTTTTTTTTCAGTTTGCCATGACAACATTTTCATTTAGCTACCATTCAAAACATTTAGTTTTTCTATTTAAAAAAAGATAGATAACTTATATTATATATTACATTTATATTGTAAATAATTACTCATTTCTACTTAATGAAACTCATTTAAATCACATGATTCTGAAATTCCCAGTCTCGTCTATGAACTACTAGGCATGTACCTTATCTTGACAGAGAGCCTCATACTCCTCTAAAAGATCAAACACATCTGTGGATGCATGACGTAAATATGACTGCAGAAAATCAGGAAACAAACCGAGAGAAGCTGAGAGAAGAAAAAGGGAGAGAGAGAGAGCTGTAAATCATGTAAACCAGTCACTTCATTTGTGGTGATGATGATCATTATGATTATTTACCAGCCTCTCCGGGATCATCTTCCTTTAGCATGAGAGCGCTCATGCTGACATCCTCAGTGAAGCTGGTGTCCACCAGTCCAGACAGAGGAGACGGGTAAAGACTGTTCGTCCAATCACTGTCATCCAAGTTCTGAAGTGTCAACAAATAAAAACCCCAGGCAAAACGGTTACCACTTACATCATACAAGCTAAATATACAGAGCCAGGATGAATAAAAGATGTTCATATGAATTCTGGTCACTCACCATGCTCAGACTGCCTTTAGTACGGGGTGTGTTAACGAAACGAGGAGTTCTGCTTCCTGTCCTGAGGATAGCCGACACATCTGGGTTCCTGAGGGCACTTCTTGGGGTGACTGTACATAATTTACAGTAGGGCTGCACAATTAATCTAATTTCTAATCGTGATTACAATTATGGATGCCACGTAATCATTCAAAGTCCACTTATGTTATTCTGCGTGCTTAAGATATGTTTTTTTCTTTCTACATGTTATCTTAAGGGTTTTTCCATTGTTTTAGTATAACATTATAATACCATGCATATATTTTTAAACCATGCATGTTTTATAATTTAAAGAAACCAATCCGATGTATATTTGACATTTGAGGCTTAATACTATAGAAAAGCACTAAAGGTTTTTCAGTTAGAGTGTTTTCAGCTTGTTTATTTTCATATAAAAATACGGCGTGCAGTTGCATCAAACAATGGTATAAACATCATTCAATGTAAACTGTGATAATCGTAATTAATAATCGCAATTACAATTGCAAGGGAATAATCGACAATTATGATTTTTGTCATAATCGTGCAGCCCTAATTTACAGTCAAACCAAAAATTATTCAGACACTAGATATAATTTTGTTTTTACTAGTGGGTGCAGGACACTATAGTTCATTTATGTAAGTGAGGATAGCGAAATAAACTGTGACGTATTATACCCAAAAAAATTCTTCATACAGTAGGTTACCAGTAAAACTGATGAAAATTTGGGACCAAAACTTATTCAGACACTTTGACTTGACCATGATTTGCTTAAGTGTTTTTCTTTAATTGCTAATGTGACCCTTTTTACACCACATACTAAGCATTGCTTAGTAATTGGTGGACCTAAATTGGTATTATCTAATTGTTGTGTACTACAATTTAACAGCTGACAGCTATTCAACCTAACTCATTACATACCTTTCTATCAAAGTAATCTGACATTATCAAGATGAATTTGTTCTGACACAGTTTAACTCTTGAGTTCTTGTCCTATTTTATTACCATTTTCTAAACTATAGCGAATAAACTGTGATAATATAAGAAATGTTGAAGGTGTCTGAATACATTTGAGTTTGACTCTAAAAGAAAACTGCACATCAATACAGACCACTCTTCAAAAACGCAAAACAGTACTAAAGGATTCAGCCAGTTCATTCAATGCAAGATTCATATCAACAATGATTATGTTACTTAAATTCTTTATTGAAAGAGTTGGTCGGTCATTTCTGAATCAGAGTGTTTTTGCATGCAGCATCTACACATATCTATACAGACAGAGAGCAAAAGCTGTTTCCTCACAAGCTTGTTTGAGGAGAGATCCAGGTGTTTGGCGCAGTAGTGGTCTAGCAGGGGTAGTGCTGGTGCCAGGAGTCTCATCCTGTGCCAGTGGGACTGAACACACAGTAAAGGAAAAAAAAAAACTCCTACATGTTTATAACATAGTTTCAGCACAGATATATTGTACTTAGTTACACTGCAAGATGAGAACAAAAACCTGACCTCAACTGAGCTGGATATCAACACTATTGTCTTCTGTAGAGCTGCTTTTCGTTTTATAATTGCTAACCTTTGCAATGTTAACACTTACTGAACTGAATAAGCATTGAGCTAAATAATGTCATTATTGTGTTGAGCCGTTTTATAGCTAAAATGGAAGTTCTTTCAAAATGGATGTATTCTGTACCATTAACTAACAATGCTATTTTTCTGTTTATCACTGTGAAGCTGTTTTGAAACTATCTGCATTGTAACGTGCAAGAGAAATAAATGTAATGACTTGACTGCGGCTTGTGATTTTGGTAAGGATACATGCACCTTTTTTGTGTGAACTCTTTCTGCGGGCCGCACGGGTCACCTCAGTGTCCCGAACCAATGGACTCAACCAGGTCTGATTCCTGCACAAAACACAGACACCACAACTACATTTTCAAGACTATGTCATTAGGCTATTATCCACATTTATGCCACATGCTCACAAATACATTTGAACACAGATTCTCCAGTCTTCAGACTAACAACTGAACATTCACAAAGACTCACACTCACACAGAAAATCCTAAACGAACTCAAAGTGGCCTGTAAAATATATTCATATAACAAATACAGCTATTAACTAGCTATGAACTGTCAAAACGCAGCTAAAGAATAACGTTATTAGTCTTTTTAAACAACATAAAAGTTCCTTCAATGCTGTGTTTACGTAAAATAACACTAAAGTTACATATTGTTTAGCAATTAATAATGAATAAAAAGCTATATTTTCTTTTCTTTCGTGTGTTATTATATTGAGTGTCAACTGCCATGTGCAGACGTTCTGACGATAACGTAAATTAGAGCAAGTCACGAATCAAATAAAGTAGCCAAAATAATCAGGTAGCATTCATACAACAATAACACGTAATATTTACCAGTCCATGTTGTCCGAAAGATCACAACTGCTAGCCAATGATGCTAGCACACGGGATTTTGCGCCTTCACTGCTGAGGCTCGTTCTTCTTCTGAGCTGCGCCTATCATTACTTCACACTGCCTCCTTCTGGCGCGGATGAACGAGTGAGTACAAAATTACCGCCGTCTGTCAGGTACTGCCACCTACTGGCTATAGAAGGAATCACATGCATCGCAATGTGCCTTTTTTTTAAAGGGGTCATATGATGCGATTTCAAGTTTTCCTTTCTCTTTGGAGTGTTACAAGCTGATTGTGCATAGATAAGATCCCTGAAGTTGCAAAGACTAAAGTCTCAAAACCAAAGAGATATTCTTTATCAAAGTTAAGACTCTGCCACGCCCCCCTAAAACGGCTCGTTCTAACACGCCCCCACATATCTACCTCACTATGTGGAAATATTAGCATAATGCCGCCCAAATGTGCACGCAAAGAAAGAAGGCGTGGTTTCAGTAACCGCAGTTAGTGTTGAAGCAGCATGTCAGGGAGACGCTGTGTGTTTCTAGGCGAAAGCAAAAGCACTTTATTTGGCCTTCCGAAAGTAGATGCATTTAGGAATCTTTAAGATTACTTACAACAGAACAGCAATGCATTTTATGAACGACCGTTTCGTGAACCTAGGAGAGGAGGTAATTCTGACTTTGCTACGAAAATCTGGCTCTTCTGAATCATCTACTGTTTTGTTATTAGCTTAAGTGTTAGAGAGAGAGAGAGAGAGAGAGAGGCAGGGTCACAGTGGAGTCAGCTGTCTTAACCGTGACTTGTGTACTGCAAACACATACCAGCTTCATCACTGTGTCTGTCACGCGACTCTGTTCCCATTTCAGGCTTGAACTGATGGTAAAACT